AGGACAGATTCAAGGAAAAAGGCCTGATCTGAGTGATTTCAACTTTTTCCTTAATGTGGAAAACCTACAGTCACTGCAAGGTTTGACATGATACCAATAACTCCAGTGAGTTAGAAGCCCAGACAGACACCAGAAACACACGTTTTCCAAGCCTTCTAACAATAAAATGCTGTTTTCAAATGAAAAGCTGTTCAATCAGAGGTCAGCGTCATACATTTGCAAGTTAGAAAGTTTCTTAAAAGAAAACATCTAAAACAACCTAAAAATGCAAATTTCAAAGTTCTTTATTATTGAAGCCCAAACAGAATATCCATTAACACTAAAAACATGTGCATTATAGAGAGAATGAAAATCAAAAACACCATTTGTCACTCGGAGCATAATTTGGGTTCAGTTGTTTTGTTAGTTATGATTTATGCTTTACTAACAGAAGTAAGTTGCACACCTGCACATTCTCAAATGTTAATACAGTTAGCTGAACACCAACGCTCATTTTAAAGTGGAAAAACTGGCTGTTATGAAAACATATTCTTATTTTATTTGTACAAAGTCCGCAATTTATGCCAAAATTAATTATTAGTTACATTAATTTACTTATTATAGTTGCATCCTGTAGTACTGGAGGTTTGTTTTGTGAATTATTTGATTTTCTGCTGCACTGTTTAATATTCAGCTTTATTGTTTAACAGATTTTATGTTGTTTGTAGTGAAACCAGCCGGATGCACTCACATATAGCAGCCCTGTAGCATCAGTATTTGTTTTCTGCTGCAGAWGCATAAAAAAACTATAGTCGGCTCACATCATGTTGTGCAAGAACTTTTAAATATTTTATTAATATTTCTATTCAGTTGTATACAAATAAAAACCAACTGATTATATTTCAACAAACAAGCTTACAAACCAGTCTAAAAATGTCAGAATTCATCTTAATTAGTAGACCTTGATGCAACCAGGGCTACACAAGTAGTACACATTAATACAGATTCAAATATATATTAGTGTGAGTGATAAGAAATGTGCCAGCACCTCTTTATTCTCTTTCCTTTACCTTTATTTCACCTTCTGTCAAACACAAAACAAGCCTTTGTTTGCTGCTATATTTGATGAAAAGGAGCAAGTTGTTGCTATGCAACTAATAAATACATCTGAGGTGTACTTCTCTCGAGTTTCCTTCCACCCCTCAGTAATCTGTGCACTGAGAGTGGTGCAAACTGCACTTTCCTGATGCTGCCAGCTTTGCCCTCTKTGTAAACAGGGGTCCCTGGTGAATATGCAGCACACTGTGGAGCCAGGATAAAATAGTTCTTCTTTTCCTCTCAGGTCTTACTGCTGARCTGCACGGTGCGACGACAAGAACGACAACCACGACTCACTGAGGTGGAAACAAACAACAACTATTTTGTCCATCACCTTCACAACACTTTGCTTTTCTACTTTTCATTAAAACCCATCACATTAACTCCTTTTTCATCTGCACTCTACTCCCATCAACATTTTAGCTCAAAATCACAGTTTTTGGGGCGCAAGAGACACTTGGACAAAATCTTTCCAGTCTTGTTCATCTAAAACATGAAAACTACATTTCAAGTGTAGGCAGGTGATCTATACACTACAGAAATAACACAAGAGGAGGAACATCACTTTGCAGCACAGGTTTCGCAGGACAATAAAGATGGACCAAAACAGAGAGGACTGGACTCATGGGTATCATGACATCAATGAGCCGTGAGAACACATGCAGGATTTCCAGACAGTATTATTAACACACCGGTGAAAAACACTTAACTCATGCCTACTCAATTATGCTAATGAATACATATACAAATGACCRGGGTTGGTTATTAGCTCTCTCAATTAGGCGACATGAATGAAGGGCCTTTGGATAGAGGGGGTGATGGGTAGTTTCCTGTCCGCCGATGAGAACAAAAGGAGAGACTGGTGAATGTTTTGTTGTTGTAGTTTTTAAAATATACTTTTTTTAAAACATCTTTGTTCTTTACAAAGAGAAACCTGCCATCTTTGGTACCTACTTTACTAAAAATTCAGCTGGAGCATGAAGGAAATGTAATATTTCCATTAAAATTTCCCACTGTTTGAGGTTGCCGTCCTAATGCACTTCTTTTTGCCCACTGTGGTCTAATGGCAGCTGAGTGGTCCTTCCACCGACATCAGCATTAGGAAAAATTGCAGAGCCAAACACCACAAAAATAAAAACCGTGGTGACATTTTGGTTTCGGCTATTAAACATGGAGAGCCTAAGACCTCGCAGGAAGCAATTTGCTATAAAAAGGAAATGGACAAAACACTAAAAAACACACATAAAAACCAACAACAGCAGCAGCTCAGTCTTTTAATTTCTCTCTTACGTGTTTTATATTGCATTACATATTGAACCTCGGCTAAATGTTGATGATCAACCTTACGCAAACAAAGCAAGTGTGAAACATGTTAGAAAACAAGAAATGGGAGAACAACTGTGATCCTATTACTGCAACCAAGTGAAAATAATACTATACATTGAAGTGTTAATAAAATCCACCAGAAACCACAGCAACATTACAAATACACTAACTGCAGGGTGTCAACAAAAGATGGGCTGGAGCAGGAAAAGAATCAGGCAGTAAAAAAAAAAAACGAAAAGACGTAAAAGACTCCTTGACAGTAGGTAAACTAGAATTTAATGCTCCACTGGTTTATATACAGTGAGGCAAAGAAGCCAATTTGTAAGCTTCACAGTGATGGCAGCAGCTGTAATTACTCAGCCAGTTTATCTGTTAAAGCTCAAAACAGCATTCTGCATATTTGCAGGTCAGAATTTATGGAGTTTTTGCCCCTAAAAGATACTTCCTTATGTAACCAAAAGTCATTCCCTAACATTATGTAACCCAATCATCACATGAATAGCTTTTGAAATAAAACATCTTGAATAAATATAGATGTATTTTTGGCAGTCTTCCGTACAGTTTGATTTGCAGAGCAGCTGCACGTGGAGCTGTCCAGAGAGGGAGGGTGCTGAAATCCAGCCCTCTGCCTGTTCTCTGCTGAACGGGAGCGCTGCTCGTGCTCGGCTCAGCCCGCGCTAAAAAAAAAAAGCTCTTCCCACAGAGATGAAATGAGAATCCTGACAGTTGGGTGGAGCAGGTTTGGACCTCATCTCAGCCGGGACTGTTGGAAAGAGCCAAACAAGCTCGAGTCTCAGCGGGCGGGCAGCTCCACGCCCTGTTCGCTATCTGAGCTGTCACATGTGTCACAGTGTCAGCCGTGAATGGATGTGTGTGGGTGGCTGACAAGTGGAAAACGTAGAGCTAGATCAAATTTTACTTTTTGAAAAACCTTAAATCCCTTTCAAGGAATTGCCTAATTTTCTCTCATTCGTTCAACACGTGTAAGTGGGTTTCATCACCGTACTGATTGGTGCCTGTGTTTCAAGTTGGAAACACTGTCATCGTGCATCCAGTGGGATGTTGTGTGAAAGGAACGGCTGATCCACACTCATCTGGCGCCAACCGCACTCCATCCTGTCGTTCCCTGGAGTAGAAAGGCCAGCCAATCAGAGAGAACGAGGCAATGAGTCACAGAGCGAGCGGACGGCGTCCAGTGGACTGAGAGGAGCTGTCTGCCGCTCTGGGCACGAGAGCTCTAACATCCATGGATGGAGTGATTCGCTCAGAACCCCATCATCCACACACGCACGTCAACAACCATTGACTTAGTACATGTGTTTGTGTGTCCGTATTTTTTCACTGTTTCATCTCCAATCTCATGAGGTTTCTAAGATTAATCTCCAATGTGGCCTCCTTCTTTTAAGTCACCCAATCTGCACCTCAAGGTGACGTGAAGGTCGGCATGTTGCCCACATACACTTCAGGCTCAACTGTTCACTGTACAGTATCCATTCAGAGAGAGCAGCTGTGAAATGAAAACACTGAACGAGACCTTGAGACACTCATTAACTATTAATGTGGGGGGGTGGGGGGTCTTGCAGCTGGATCCCACCACACACACACACACACAAGCAGATGTTAGGAAACACAACAATGTGTTAAATATCAAAAAAGCAATAAACAATTTTTTATAAAGAAGAGCAGATATTTCTGGTCCACTGTTGGACATTTAAACCCCTTTTAAAAAGCCACTAAATCATTTTGAATAACAATCGTAGGGCCTTGCAGTGGGAGAGAAAAGGATTCAAATCGGAGCTGAAATCAAAGTGTTTCGTGTTGGTTTGTTCCAGAGAAAGAAACCTCGAATCAGCCAGCCTGTCTACTGTACCTCAGGATAGAAAAGATGAGTTCATTTTAGCTGAATATAAAATAATAAGGCTCAAATAAGAAGGGAGGAGATAAGGAGTGAGGGGGGAATGATAAACAGCAGAGAAGGCTGCAGTGATTCCTTTACACTGTATTAATTAACACATTTTTAAAAAGCACTGGAAGCAACAATCCATACTGGATACAGCTGCTAAATATGTCACATGTTGTCTGTTCCATGGCTCAGTTACCATCTCCACTGACTGTTCTGTTGCCAGCCCAACCCTTACTGACACTAACACCATGAGGCAGAGCCACACGCAGCCTGATCACTCTTAAAATACAGATCTAAATCAGTTTCATTCCTTTTAAATTGTTTAAAACTGATAAGAAGCAGAAAAAAAGATTGTAAAAAGTCCAGCTGTAGCACAACAAGAACTAGTTTCTTCAAAACGGATTTTATATTCTAAACAGATTTAACTTCCCTACTCAGTAATGAATAATTATTAATAGGAAATCCTTTGATGAGCCTTTTCTTTGTTTCCTTCCCAAATACAACCCAATTCTTTTACCGTACGGTGTCCTGTGAGCCATCATGGCTCACACACGCAAAAATAATCTCCATTACAAGCAGCATGCGCTCTTTTCAAAGCAGCAACACAAACAAAAGCTCTGCTGCTGCCTGACTGTACAGCCACGCTATCATGTCCTCACTGGGATCCTGCAACGATAGATTGTTAAACTCTTACCTGGCAGCTCTCTCTTTCCTGGGTCCTCTTCAAAATCCCAGGAAGGGCTTCAGACAAGTTCTGCTTTTGCTGAGAAGGCTTGATGTTGCACTTTGAAAAAGAAGAAGAAGAAGAAAAAAAACTAAGAACAAACATCAGTGGCTTTTTTAAAAAAAATCCCCTTTTTCTTCACACAACGGCTTCGAGAAGCACTCACGCTCACACACTCCAACACCCAGTCAGCAGCTCTGTTCCTTCCCTCTCTTACTGTCCGTGACACTCGCCTCCTCTCTTCCCGCCCACCTACTCCAGCCCCCTCCCCAGCTTCATTCCTCCCTTACCTCTCTCACGCTTGCTCCTCGTCTGTCAGACAAAACGCACACATCCTCTCAGTCTCTCAGCTCACTATTTTCTGACATTTCCCCCCCACACACACCCACTTACACGTTGGGCTCAGTGAAAACAAATATCAGTCAGTGGCACTATTAAATGTGCGTTTCCATACACCATTTACAAACTTATTCTTGGTTTATGGAGCATTTCTGTGGAAATCACACAAAATAAAACAAAGCCCCTTGTGAAAGCCTAATAACAGACAGGATGATTAATAGATAATGCTAATGAGGCATTCCTACTGTACATGATTACTGTTTCAAAGTCATAAAACTCTTTCACGCTTCTGTTTCCTGATTTTCCTCTCTCCGTGTCTCGCTCCATTTGTTCCCGTCTCTCTTCATGTCCTGCTAAGTGATGCCGCTCACGTCCCGTTCTGCAGACATCTAGTCAAGGGCATTCCCAGAGTAAGTGTATGCTAATGCTCTGCCTCGAGGAGCTGCCTAGCATCCTCTAGACACTCAGCCTGACCAGACGTGGCACTCTGCTATCCCAGGGAGGGGGCAGCAAGTGCAAAGACAAAAAAAAGGGACCACCAGCGACAAAGCTGCCAAAGTGTAGCGTCTCCGCTCGAAAGCAAAGTCAACATCGTCAGATCAGACAAAGGTGTGAACAAATAATCTACCTTTAGTCACGTCTTACATGATGAAAGGACAAATCCTGTCTTAAATTTCATGGGCAGTGACCATAATGTAAACAACTGAACTCAGACATGATCACCATCCTGATCAGCCCTGGATTGATCAGAAATGTGGAGTTCCATTTGTGCCAAAAATGTGTTCGTCTTCACGTCATGTTGACATAACTGATTTAAACACAGACAGGACAGATGAGAGGCAAACAGGGCGTCCTCCTCGTTAATGATTACCATATGAGCCTGGACTCTGCACAACTCGCTCCTCTGTACATAAGCTACAGTTCAATGCTGCTGTGTGTGTTGGGGGGGGAGCAGGGGGATTGATTACTCGCTGAGAATGATGTGGTCGCTGCAGATCTGTGGCTCAGCAGTCTTATGGGTTGACCCTAATGAGGAGAGGAAAAGCATCCTCTCTGAGGGGGAGAGAAAGATCTGTCTCAACACATCCCAGCTCCTCGCTAACACAGCTAAGGTCAACACGAAGCTCAAATAAGCATCTTATCTGACAATAAAAAAACTGAAATGTCTATATTATAGGATGCAATAATTGGTGTGAAAAACAGGGTTAAATAAGTCTAAAGGTGTCGACTTTGTCACTCTGAAATCCAACAGTTCAACATGTAAATGTGTGTTTTTAAAACCACCACCTAAAAAAATAAAAAGCTGATTATTTATGCTTGTTTGCAGATTAAATTTCTTGTTGCAAAGGGTTATTTTTTACTACTGTTTACTACTGTGGATGCCTTGATTGATAATTGGATTTTGCTCTAACTGATTTACAAAAAAAATAAATGCAGCAAAGCTCATGTTCAAAGTCTGTCATTGAAGTAAATTACTAATTTCACATCTGACAGCTAAGAATATTACATAAACATAACCTCAGCTGTCTTCAAAATGAATGGAAATGTTATTTCTTTGTGGTTTCAGTGAACTGATGAAATTTTGAAGAGAGAAAATGTAGAATAATCAGACAATTATTCCCCTAACATAAAATAGAGTCAAATTTAGAAAATTGTTTTAAGCTTTAAATATTTTATTATGGCATTTTCAGCAAAGCAGTGCAAGTCTTGCACACCTAATTATTTTTATTGACCTTTATTTTACCAGGCAAGACATTAGGAATAACTTATTTACAATGTCAGCCAGGGTACCAGAGCCACCCATAGGAAACCAGGTAAGGGAGAAAAAATAACCTCAATAATCATGAGTTTATTGAGTTAGAGCAGAAAAATATCCCACATATCATTCATTCAAGTGTTTTAGTCTTATTTCAGTTTAAAGGCAGATTCTGTTGAACAGATCTTTAGGGGAAAAAAAGAGTTCAGTGTTTGACAACGAGCAGAAAACCCAAGACTGTAGTGGTTGTTTCATACGTAAATAAAACCACATCACAGCTGTGCTGTGAGAGAATCCTCAGGGAATAATGCTCTAATAAAATCAGGACCTTAATAATGCTGTGATGGGCCTCATTTGTTCATTTGTTTGGGGGCTGCAGAAAATTACAATAACAGATACAGAATGTGTTTTTACAAAGTGTAAAACTGTATAAAATGAACTTTTTGTAAACTATGTCCTTTACTGGTGCCAAAGATCTTATCAATATAAAAACTAACAATCCAAATGTGTTTCTGCAGAATGACTAATGAGCACACATCAGCTTCTGAAAAGAAACAGACAGGAAATCTGAGCGCAAAAAGGCTAAATGTGAATTTCTTTCAAACCAGAAACCTGTCACCAATCAACTCGCTTTGAACAAGAGAGGAATTGTGGGGGGAAATGGAGAGATAAACAATTTAAAAGGGGAATGTAAAGGGTGAAATGGCATTTAGAAAAGAGACAGAAGAATAAAGGAAGGTGGGTGAACAAAAAGGAGTWTTTTTCAAAATGTCAGGAGCATTTCGATGGTCACCTTTGGGCACTGGAAATTACTGGTTTTGCTCCTCTATCAAAAGAGAAGATGTACGAGTCAGAAGAAGACTTTTACAAACTTTTAGTGACCAACTTGTTCTTTTAATTTTTTTATGTCATGTTGATATAAGTTATAAAAACATAGCTAGAAGCTAAAACTCACATTTTGTTTGGACCTTTTCAATCAGCATTTAGTACTGATTAAAGTCCATCATTGATCCAGCTAGTTTTCTTGTAATCTAACCCCACTTTTACTTGTTTAAACCATCTATTCAGCAAACATCAAATCACCCTGAAAACCTGTAGCTAATCAGACAAACAGGATTTAATTAAAAAACAAGTTTATAAGCCAAGAGAGGGCTTGGGGGCCCAGTAAGGACGGAATCTACTTTCCAGGGGCCTCATTTATAAAGGATTGCGTGGAAACCTACTAAAAGTGAACGTACAGCCAAAAGGCGGAAGTGGCACATGCCAAAAAAAAATTCAGATTTATAAAACCGTGAGTACACACGTTTCTGAGCATCTTTCCTTTATAAATCACAGCTGCACGTCAGAGTTTGCGCACAAGGTCCCGCCTCAGGTTCTGCACGCACACACACACACACACACACACACACGCACCCACGCACCCCCCCCCACCCCCGCGCACGTGACAAACACAGACTTTAAACATGAAGTTTTATAACATCCACACTGGCGAGGTGGATGCGCCCTGCGCATGTATCTAAAGCGTGACTTTTGCTGTCCTGCTGTTCTTGTCAGGGAGGGGTCTGTGGGTCAGGGAGGGGTCTGTGGGGCAGGGTCGTCTGAGGAGGAAGCAGATGAAGGGAGTTGCGCATGGGAACTTTTATTTAAGATTTAAGTTCTTTTATTTCAAAGGTCCTCATGGCTCAGCAGCAGAAGCATAAATATTACTTTTAAGAAAGCTGATGATAAAGTTGAATAAAAATCTAAGTCTTATGAAGGTAAATTAAATATCTGACAGTGATCATTTCACAGTGTGGCTCTAATTCCTCACTTCACCATCTGTGTCACAGTTTCACGTCTCCAAAATGAGCGTACGCATGGGTCAGAGCTGGCGTGAGGCACCGCTCATTTTCACGTTAAGTTTGGATTTTATAAATCACAACCTTGGCGTGAAAAGTGGAGTACACAAGTTTCTGGGCTAAAATTGTGCGTATGCCAGTTTTATAAATCCGACCCCAGAGTCGTGCATCACCCTCTCTGTCACACCTTCAGAATTCCACATGGGGGGAGACAGTTTATAACCCCATGTTAGCTCAGCACGTGCAAAAAAAGATTAACTTAAAGTCACACAGAAAGGTTTATCATACACTTCTCCCTCCTTCATCCTCTCCAAGGCCACTTCACCTCCAGTTCAAGTCTCTCATCTGTCTGAACTGCTGGACCCCAGGATTTACAACTACCTCCCCTGCAGGACCGGCCCACCTGTGAGGACTCATGGTCATCAGTCTAGCCAATACTGGTGTGCTCCTGTTAAAATGGCTCACAGCTACTACACACATTTAACCTAATTTCTGTAAAATACYTCTGAARTGAAGACATTTTTGTTTTGGTTATGGTTGTGTTGGCCGTCTTGACATAAGTTTCTGAAAGTTTCATTAAAATCTGTTCAGTAGTTCAAGTGATACTTTAACGGTACAAACTGACCAACACACACAGACATGCTAAATATCACTGCTTTTTGCATCAAGCAATAAAAACATTTCTCTATAACAATCATGCTGCTGAACACTCTTTAAACACGAGTTAAAATAGGAAATAAATCTCCCTTTGCAGACCTACAGTATTTATCAATTAAACTTAGGAAATAAAACACTGAACTTCAATGAAAAGTTAATTTTTGCTTGTCCAAATACTTTAACCTCCTACCTTCCACTTATTCTTTTTACCAATCTATCCATTCACACAACTATTTTATTATCATCATTAAAACTAAATGTTTTTCCTCATTGTCTGGTTTGCTTCTTTTGCTAAAGACTTCCATACCACTCTGACATGCACATAAACATCATCATACAATATGTGACAGAGATATAAATAGTATTGGTTTTAAGTAGAATAAAATCTGAATAAGGGGTATTGGGGTACTATGCACTGATTTGGTTAGTGATTAGTGCACTTATTAGTTTCCTTTTGATTTTATGAAGCT